GCAAATGCAGTAATATACAACAGATAATGTACATAAAGCAAAATAACTGCACAAAAGTAAACACCCAAAGCCGCACAACAGACAAGCGCTAGGATTGACTCGCATAGGGAACCAAATCTAGTCCCCAGCAGATTCTCCAGCTGTCACAAATGCGAGAAAGGCCCGACGGAAAAACAGAAGAGTCGCCACCGTTCTTTATTTGTCCCAAGGAGAAGGAAAGGAAACGATCAGAGAAAACCTACGGAAAAGGGAAAAGACAAGGTCATCGCAACCAAATTTTGGGTTCGGGAGTCGGTTACGCAATGGGAAGGTATTAGCACCCCTCACGTCTGTTGTACTCAACGGGATCCACGCTTGTTGTCTAATCAAAGGGTGTGTTAATCTATCAAAGGCTGCCTCACAGGGACAAAAGAAAATAAAAGAGACTCGATAGAGCATCGCCGCTCTATGCCTACGTACTCCATCGTGCAATGGGAAAGTCAGAGTCAACGTAGTTCAGAAAACTACGGGTGAGGGTGGGGAAGGTTGCTCCCCAAGACATCACCGTCTTGTGCCTACGTATCCTCATCTGGTATGAGAAATCAGAGCAAACGTAGTTCGGGATGACGCGACCACAGATGGGTTCAAGTGTTTTAACCGAGTAGGGTTAAACCTTCGTTCTAGCAGTTAGGGACGATGCCTGTTTGCGGTAGAACCAAAGCTTAACACCCTCTTTCTGAAAATGGTTTTCCATTAATCCCGAAGGATAAAAAAAGGTTTGATGATTGTTTTTGTGTTTTTTAATAAAGTGAATTGATTTGATTTGTGATTCACGTTGCACTAAAGACTATGACATAGGAACGAATGCGTCACATATCGCCCCCAAATGGGACGTACACTAAACACTCTAGACAAGCGAGAGGAGACCCCTCATTCATAATTTCCCATGTACTTAAGGCTCGTAGCGTACAATGTTCATCGTATTTATTATATGAGTTAAAATGTGTTTTGAGATGAGAAGAGAGACGCACAGAAGGTCTAAGGGAAACTTGGCCCTAATGTTGTCATGCAAAATGGACCTAAAGTTGGGATTGAAAGGGAAATCTACCCTAATGTTAGCATGCTTGGATTGAACACCTAATATATCTCCTACTCCCATCCTAAACGAAGGGACTAGGAAAACTAAGGGATCATGGCAAAGGACCAAGAAAACACAAAGAAATTCAATCACAAGTAGAAAGAAATGGAACACAAAAAGATGTGAGGATGAGATGAAATGGGAGAAGCGAGCTCCTACGACCATTACCATCAGCCATCAAAGAAGAGTGGAAGGGAAAAAGTGTGGGGCAGCAGCCACCACAAGTACATCTCAACCAATCAATTCTTTAAACTCAAGCAAAGCAAATGATCATACTTGAACAACATCCACAAAGTATCCATTCAAGTAGAAACCAAACAATGCGTGTCGAAGAATCAAGATTAAACAATCAAGAACAGTGACACATATCCAAAGCATCTCACTTAAATGCATCATATTGATCCATGAAGATTCCAAGTGAGAAGCAACCAAAATATGCTTGAAAATAAGCAAAAGTTGCATTCTGGTTCAGTGTTAATCGGTCAACGTTGTTGGTTAACCGATTAACCATTAAAAAATTTCTGAAATTCGCACTGGTTAATCGTTTAACCAGTTTGTACTGCAACTGGTTAACCGATTAACATTGTACCAGAAGCAGAAAAACAGCAGCTCAAAAGCACTTTCAACAATTAATCACTTATGCAATAATCCAAATGATCTTGTAATCAATTATGCACGAATTTAACATCAGAAATCAGTGATCCAACAACATGTAAACACATTCTAACAGCAAGATCCCAAATCACATGAATCAAAATCAACAAACTCCACCAGAACTTGAAGATCAACATGATGATTATGCAAAATAAGCTCAAAATAGCATCGGATCTAGAATTTCCAACCTACAAAGCGGAGATTTGCTTTGGTGAATGTTGATTCAACTTCAAATGAGCAAATCCAAGCAAGAAACAGAGATTCTTCAAGATCCAATTGATTTCTTGTGGTAGAAGTGAAGATCCACCAAAATTAAGCAAAACCAATCCAAATAAGCTCTTCCAAATCAACTTCCAAGTTCAGATCCACACTAGCACGGAAATTGGATGGAGAAATGGAGATAATAAGGATGAAGGATGAAGGTTTAGCTCTAGAATTCAATTATTCTAATGGAGAATCAAAGAATTCAAGGTGAGAGCTCTAATGGAGGTTTTAGAGTGAAAACGTTGAGAGAAAAATTCAAGAGTGAGAGTGAATTCTGAAAATGAAATGGAACTATGAGGATTGATTCCTGAGGTTTGGAGCAAAATCACTTAAATACGCTCTAGGTTAGGAGTAGAATTATGGTTTGGAGTGTGGTTATGAAAATTGGTATGAGATTAGGAGTGGGAATTTGAATTTATTTGAAAACTAATCAAAATTCAAAGTGGTTCTAGATCCTTCTTCTGGTGTAAAATCAAATTCACGAGTGATCAAAATGGACCCCAAAGTGGCACACTTGAAAAACTCACGTGCAGAGGCAAAATTTGCCTTGGTTAATCGATTAACACCCTTGAAAATTCAAATTTGGTCTGATTTTGCTATGGTTAACCGGTTAACCATATTGGTTAATCGGTTAACACCTTGAAAATTTGAATTTTGGCGCCTTTTGGAGGGAAATCTGCACATTCGTTCGTTTTCTTCCGTTTTGAGCCCCATAAAACATCTGAAATTTGCCCTTGACTATCAAAAATGTGAGAATGCTTGAGATAGCTTGAGTGTTGCCTCCTGAGCAAAAAATATCCTGCAAAATAAAAATAAAATCGGTCGTCCGATCGTCGGGAAAAATAGATGTCGGAGCCCCTGATGCTCACTGTTCAGACTTTTGCACTAAAAATGACGCCTGAGCCACAGAAATGCCTTGATCCCATGCCTCAAGACAAATGCTATGATATGCAGAAATGCAGAAATGCAAAGAAATAAAAGTCAGTTCATGTTAAAACGGAAGGGAAAATTTTGGAGTGCTGCACTTTCTTATTAAAATCCTTTTAAAAATATGTTTATTTTAAAAAAATTTGTATATCAAACCTCACCCCTCATATGTTTGAAGACAATTGTTTAACAACTTTATTCCATGCATCCCTCATTAGAGTCTTTGTCTTAATGATGAAAGACTACTTAAGAGTTTATTATTATTTATTACATTTCTTTCATACTTTATTATCATGAACATGTGTATTTTTCACCAACATGTTCAATTTAAAGGATGTGCAAGGTATTTTCTTTTTCCAAATGTGTATTGGTTGCAACACAAGTCCTTTCACTAGATTTAGCAGGAATTAAAGTAGATGAGAGAGGTGTATAGTTGTATTTGTAAGAGATGGAGCTTGAATGCTCTTTCTTTTGTTTTTGACACAAAGGAAGTATCAACATGTGTTGTAACTTGTCATATTCAACACATTTTTCTTCTTTTTATTAGCTTTCACTACAAAGAAGTCAAGTAGGTTAAAAGTAAGATTTATTTATTTATTTTTTACTCATTTCTCTCATATTTACTTAATCAAATTACAGGAAAATGGGGATAATGCCGCTTGGAATATACATAAAAAATGAGATTCAAAATCAAGGTTATCAAAATTATGAAGCATTTTTTTTAATTTAAGAAAGTTAAGAACCAACTTGAGCCGTTTCTAAATGGAATGACTCATCAATCTTTTTTCTTGGATTCATCTTCTTAAAAGAGGTCATATTTTTATTTTTGTCTTCTAACAAAGTAATATTTTAAAATATTTACTTACTTCTATGTGATATCGTAACATATTGCAACATTGTCGAAATATCCCGAGATGTTCTTTTGCATATTATGTTTAGGATTTAGTAGAACAAGATATAAAGGATTGTGATCAGTTGTTGAGTGTTGCTATAGACTGTTTAGCTAGTGAGTTTTCTGAATCCCTTATATTTTGTAATCCAAACAGCATACAAAATCACAAAATGGTGTTTTTCTTAAGGTATATGTAGTTGTTTGATGATAAAAAATAGTAGTGAAAATGGTATTTTTATTTGTTTGATTATATAAAATATATATATCTTGTACTATATTGTTTCTTGGTTCATACTTCTACTATTTCATATATATAATAATCATGTAGTTTCATATATATAATAATCTTGTAGTGTTCCATTCTATATGATTACATTTTCAAATAATATATTAGCTTTTATAAGTGGTTTTTTAATATTTAATTTTGTGTTTATTGTGTTTTAGGACTTAGTTTGGATATGGATTTTTTAGCTCCAATTGATGAGAGTGATGACGCAGATTTGGACCTAACCGTTGAACAAGATTGTGAGTTAGTGGAACCTAATAGTAATGTGTTTGGGGAACCTAGTCAAACGAAGAACACTAAGAGAAAGCAGAAATTTCAGGTGTGGGAGTTTTTTTACTATGATAGAAGGGTTGGATAATGAGGGAAGGCAAAGAGTGAAATGCAATGCATGTGGTACATCATATGCATGCGGAGGAAAATGATATGGGAGAACTTCTCTAAAACGTCATCTTGAAGTTTAAAAGAAAGTTAATTTTGGAGATGTTGGTCAGATATGTTAGACATGCAAGGAAAACTAAAATCATTAAAGATTGATAATTTGGTATCTCGTAAAATGTGTGCTCGACTAATTATCAAGCGGGATCTTCCTTTTAAATTTGTTGAGTTTGAAGAGCTTACTAATTGGCTTTAATACTTTAATCCTAATTACATTCCTATCACTAGAAATACCGCCATGACTGATGTTGTAAGAATATACAAAAGGGAAAAGGAAAAGAGTAAGACAGAAATGGCCAACACTCCTTGTAGGATTTCCTTAACTTTTGATTTATGGACATCAATTAATAGTATATATTACTTTAATTGCTCATTATGTTGATAAAAGTTGGAAGTTAAATAGTAAAATCCTCAACTTTTGTCACATGCCTCCTCTTCACACTGGTTTTGAGTTGTGTAAAAGAATAACTGAGTTTTTTATTGATTGGGGAATAGAGAAGAAGGTTTTTACCATTACTCTGGATAATGCTTCTATAAATGATGTCATGCAGCAAATTTTGAAGAGTCAACTAGCCTTACAAAATTGGTTATTACATAAAGGAGAGTTCTTTCATGTTCGTTGTTCTGCACATAGCTTAAATCTAATTATGCAAGATGGACTTAAAGTAGCTTCTGGTGCTTTGCAAAAGATTAAGAAAAGAATCAAACATGTGAAAGGTTTAGAGAGTGGGGTGGTAAAATTCAAGCAATGCATTTATATGGTTGGCAACATTGATGTATCAAGTGGGTTGGTTACAAATGTGCCTACAAGATGGAACTCAACATATTTGATGCTTAAAAGTTCTCTTAAATGTCAACGTGCATTTGAAAATCTTCATTGTTATGATGAAAATTATACAAGTAATCCTTCAAAGTAAGAGTGGGCGAGACTTGAAAAAATGAGTAGGTTCTTGTTTCCATTTTATGAAATTACCACTTTGATGTCCGGAACAAGCTATCCCACTTCCAATTTGTACTTGCAAATTTGGAAAGCATGATTTTGAAATTTAAGAATTATTGGGATGAATATAGTGTTTTTCTTGCATTTAGGGCTGTCTTAGATCCAAGAATGAAGTTGGATTCATTGGGCTATTGTTATAAAGTGATTGATCCACTAAATTGGGAATTGAAGTTGGAAAACATAAAGCTGAAATTGTACAAGTTGTTTGCAGAATACTCTATTTCTTCTTCGAATGCTTCAAATACTCCTCATATTACCTCTTCAACTATGTTAGCTTAGCCAAACCTATTTGATGTAATTTTTTTTGTTCATGATTTACTAATTGGTTTCTTTCAAATAATATGAAAGCATGATTTACTAATTGATTTTGTTTAACTTTATGTTATTTTTCAATTGTCATAATTTTAGAAAGTTAGATTGGGCAAAAAAATAATCTAGTACGGCTAAAATATATGGCCAAAGTCAACTTGAAATGTATTTGGAACAGCCGACATTGGATCTTGATTACACAAAACATTTGAATGTACTACAATGATGGAAGAACACTAGACAAAAATTTCTCGAACTTTCAGTGATGGTTCAAGACTTGTTAGGCATTCCTATTATCATTGTTGCATCATAATCTTTCTTTAGTATTGCTACTAAAGTACTTAACAAGTATAGAAATCGACTATTGTCTAAAAATGTTGAAGCATTAATTTATTTTCGCAATTGGTTGCATGCCTTTGATGATGGTAAATATTTTTAGTATGAATATAGTTATCTAATATTTTATAATATATTGTTTAGTAACCATTAAATTTATTTTATTATTTTGTAATGTAGATGGAAATGATGATAACAATGAAGATGAAAAAGAAGGTCCAGCTTTTTCTAAAAGTGCATTTAATATTCTTGACCTTGATAATTATTATTTAAATTTTAGAATGTTTTACTCTTGTTTTGTTAGGCAATGCTATTAAGGTTTTAGTTGGTTGAACTTAAACTTTGATTTTATACTTAATACTTATTATGATTTTTGTTGGTTGAACTTAAACTTTGGTTGTTTGATGGTTAAAAGTTAATAGTTGTTTGATGGTTGAACTTAATATTTATTTTGGTTGGTTGAAAGTTAATATTTATAGATGGTTGTACTTCTATTTTAGGTGAATACTTGTTGAAAGTTCTATTTTTGGTTGAAGGTTAATACTTTATGGTTTTAGTCTTTTGCCACTTATGCTTTCTAATTGTTGGTTTGATGCTTTCTTATTGAAATGTAAAAAAAAATCCTTTTAATTTCTTTAAAAAACTGAGAAAAAAAGAAGAAGATAAAAAGCGGGAAAGCCCGCCAACCCACCACCTTGGCAAGGCGAACTAGATTTTTATGTCTATTTCAACTTGGCAGGCATGCCCACCCCACTCTTTTTTGGTAGACTTTGGGCGGGATGGCGGCTGTTTTGCCACCCCTAATCATAATAAGTAGTAGAAGCTAACATTTTGATATTTTCTAGATTTGACATAGTCAACAATTTTCTTTTCTGTAAACAGAAACCCTTGATTTATAGAGATTGTTTGATGAATGTCAAATCTACACACTGTCGCTACTGCGAAAATCGGCGCCGGCTGACAGAAGAGTCGCCACCGTGCGTTATTTATCCCTCAGAGCGGGAAAGGAAACGCTCGAAGTAAACCTCGCAAAAAACGGGGAAAGGCATGGTCATCGCAACCAAAACCTGGGTTCGGGAGTCGGTTACGCAAGGGGAAGGTATTAGCACCCCTCACGTCCGTCGTACTCGACGGGATCCACGCTTGCTTGGGTTGTCTACTGGATGCAAAACAATCTATCTACGGCTGCTAAATCTAAACGGAAGGGAATTGACTCGATAGAGCGTCGCACTCTATGCCTACGTATTCTCAGGAGAGAAAGTCAGAGTCAACGTAGTTCGGGACCACGGGGAAAATTGGCTCGCCAAGACCTCGCGTCTTGTGCCTACGTACTTCCACTGCATGGAAGATCAGAGCTTTACGTAGTTCAGACTAACTACGGCTAAACAAACATTCTCACACAGCAGTGAGAAAAACAACTGGTTTCACAGGGTCGGGAACCTATGGGCATAACTATGGTTTGGTCTCAAATGCACTCGGGTAAGAGGGAAAAAGGGTACTCAATTAATCGTCAGCGGGAAAGTCTCGATCGCACAGCAGCGAGAGAACAACAGGTTAGTCGTTAGTGTGCTCGCTAGGACATCGCATCCTATGCCTACATATCCTCGTCTGGTACGAGGAATCAGAGCAGCTGTAGTTCGGCTACTTCGGGACCACAGCTCAAATCTCGTTTTATTAATTTCTGAAAAATGATTACAATGATTGAATACTGCAAATAAATCTCCTAGGAACACTATCCTATTCTATCCTGAAAAATTGAATGAAAATAGCCCCCTAACAAATGGGCTTCTAAACTATCCTAAAATCGTAAAATAATCTCTATGGAAATATCTCCTAAAAGAAAATGTACTTAAAAAATATTAAACCTATACTAATATTTTTTTATTCTTTTCCAATCATTTTCTCCTCTCTTCTTTCAAAATATTTTTCACATTTTTCTATTTATTTTTCACATATTTTTTCAATATTTTCTTTTTCTCCTTTTCTATTTTTCAATATCCTTTCTTTTTCTTTTTCACTATTTCTTTTTCTTTTAATATTTCTCTTTTTTTCATATTCTTTTCATGATCTTTTTCTTTTTCTTCAAACATATTTTTTCTTTTTCTTTTTTCAATATGTTTTTTCAAATATCTTCTTCTATATCTTTTCTTTTCTTTTTCAAATGAAACAAATATAATAAACTCTAAAAGAATTAAAAAAAAAAAGAAGAAAATAAGGGGCTGGGGGTGTAATCAATACAGGGGATATACAAATAAAATAATGCAAACAGAATGGGCCCAGCCCAGGTGCTTGCTGTAGAACCCAGAGGGGGGGTGTACTGAGTGCACTGGGAGTGTATGGTTCAGTAAACGTACGTGGGCCCAGCCCAGCCAGCCACCAAACAGAGGGGGGGAAGGAACCAAAAATGGGGGCGTAAATCACAAAAAAACGTTGGGCTGAAAGGCCCAAATCTCCCTGAGTCCACCATCTTCCTTCACTCTCATTCCCCCTGACAAAACCCTAATTCACCAACCCTTCCTCTCAGCGCCGCCGTCGTAGCCTCCTCAGACTCCCTCATCCTCTCTCGTTTCACCGCTTCCCCTCCAAATAACTTCTTCCTCTCAAACTCACACAACCCAGTTCCCAGCCATTAGAACAACATGAACACACTTAAACTTCGCAAATCCTCTGGATGGCTTGATCAAGAGTTCGCCGTTCTTGATGTCACTTTCTGGAAAGTTGAAGGAGTTGGAGATAGAACACCCTAGACGAAGATCTTTGAAACTCAACCATGAATGTCATTGCTAGTTCTTGAAGGAATTGCTCGCTGATGAAGCTCTTGTCCGAAGCATCTAGATCTTGAAAACTGAGCGCGTTGGTGATTTGGAGGACCTTCTGGAAGGCGTCTGAGGTCGATGAATGGGCTATGATTCTTGATGGTGATCGATGATGAAACAGTTTCTGGATTTGTTGTTTATGGAAGATGATTGAAGGAGGAGGTTGAGTTTCTGGAGATGCGAAGACGACGTGGTGGAAGGATTCAGGGAGAATGACGTTCTGGCGAAGAAGGTTGAATGAAGTTCTTGGAAGCTTTCTCCCTGGGAATCTGATGAAGCTTGTGGAGGATTCTGATCTTGATGATGAAGATTCGTCGGGGAAGAAGAGGGTTGGAGAAGATGATCGGTTGAGGTGGACCGGGTTCTGGGTTTCAGGGTTGAAAATGATGAATCTTGATCGGAGATGGAGGTTGAAGGTTTTTCTGGTGGTTAGAGGAGAGGAAGATCAGGGGAAGAAGATGGAGGTCAACCGGAATCTGGAGATTTAGGGGCTTCCGGCGATGGCGCGGTGGCCGCCGGCCATGCAGGCCGGCCGGTGGCTCTTTTCAGGCGAGGTGTCGTGGTGAAGCCACGTGGGGAGCTAGTGGAGGGGCTTGATGCATGTGGGACGTGTGTCCCTGTGCGTGGCAGTGAGAGAAGAACGGAGAAGACGCGTGGCGTGTGTGGGTGATGCAGCGTGGGGTCAGCCTCTGTTAACACGTGGCTTTCTGACTATATAAGCACTGAGATTTCTGGATGCTTCCAGAAACTTCTGGAAGTTGCTGGATGAAACTGGACTTGGCTGGACAATTCTTGGATTGATGCTGAATTTGGGCCTGCGAATTAGTAAATAAAGCCCAACGAAATGGGGTCCAAAAACTCTGAAAAACTGAAAAACAAGATTAAAAAAATCTAATTAACACCTAATCCTAATTAACTAAGCTAATAATACTATTAAAAAATCTAATAAACCCACTAATCTAAAAATTAAACTAAATCTCTATTAAATCTAAAATTGACTAAATTTCTATTAAATCCCTAATAAAACTATATTATTCTATTAAAATCTATTTACTAATAAAAGAAAATCTATATATTTCTACAAAAGAAAAACAAAACTATATTCTTTATATCTAAAATTAAATTCAAAAACTCAATTAATATTCTAGAAAAATCTATATTATCCTAAAAAATCTATTAAATCCTAAAATGATCAAAAATCTATTTAAAAAGAATTAAAACTATTAAAAAAATCCTATTAATATTCTAAAAAATGATTTAAAAGCTATTTAAACCCTAAAAAATGCCAATAAAATCCAAAAAAATCACGATAATTCCCAGGGGAACAAAAATAAGCACCGAACGACACAAAACACCGCGAGAGCGCAACAAAATAGCCGGTAAAAATAAACGGGCACCGAAATATCCTAAAAATCGATTCTATCTATCTAAACTGATAAAAAACACCTGAAACACG